TGTTACTATAATTTTTAACATTTTGCATTATTGTTAGTATTGCGGTAACTGCGGTAACACCAGTTTGTTGCAGGGCTAACACAGATACCACTTGCACTCACGTTCACACCTATGGGCAATTTAGAAATACCAATTAACCTAACCCCAGTAACTCTGTGTCTTTGGACTGTGTGAGGAAGCTAGAGTACCCAAAGAGAACACACATGGATACGGGGAGAACCGTGCTGCCCTAATATAAAGTTAAGTTCTCAGTTAAGTTGTTTTTCTCCTGCAAAATTGTCTGGCATACCAACACTGTCACTAAATGTGACATAAGCGTTCCTGTAAGACAGAGTCAGTCTGCTTTCAATCTGCCGTTGAATTGCGATTAGATGCAACATGTTTCTGATAATATAACAATTAACTGTGATACATCATCAACAATCACATATCTGTTGCTGTCTGCATAGACAGAAATTCACATTTAACTCAGATTCACATGGCTATTACAATTACATCTGGACTGATAGTTACATGTTGGAATTATGTCTGCATTCATAAAAAACGTCTCTGGAGCGATTGCAGAAAGGTGGTTTCCTTTCAGGCAACCTGTGAAATCGCAATTAAAAGTGGCGAAAGTGTGCAATGCTATCAAGCTCTGGGCAACCATGTAGTCACCACAAGTTACAATCAGTCATAGAATGTGAAAAAATTCAATACAGTCAGCATGTAGCCACCAGTTTGTTTGTTTTTTTAATGCTTTTGTTTTTGTTTGTTCATTTTTGTTGATACGAGGAAGCTGCTGTCCTATTTTTACTCGCGTGGTTGACCCGTTAGCTTTCTCTGAATTAGCAAGTAGCTTTGTCAAGCTGAGTGCGTCCAATATGTTTATGTTTAGCTCTAAATAAATAAATAAATAAATAAATGACATGGCATTTGCTGAAATGCCAACTCGGGCTTAAAAACCAATGAATAACATCACATTGGCCACATCCATCTTTTCTATACAGTCTGTATCATTGACTCGATTTAGCCTCTGGGACCAATGATCGCTGTTTTGGAAACTTCTGTGTAGCTACCCGATATTGAAATAATGTATACATGATATCTAAACCAACACTTCTTCTTTCATGTACCAGGCATTGTTTATAATGAGAACACTGAAGCAAATACATTTAAAAGAAGGTAATAAAAGCAGTGAGCCCCCCTCTTTTGCTTTCCACACAGACTGTTTACTTGCATGCAGGTGAAGTCTGCTGAGTCGTGACTCACACTACAACTGGAAACCAAAAAGCTTCTAGGGCCAAAACTATTTCTTTCCTACAGATTCTCCATATTTATATGCAGATATCTGTTTGTGGAGATTAACTCCGTGCTGTGCATTCACTAAAGGTCAGGAAGTGCTTTACAATTCCCTCCCCTGGTTTTTGGTCTAATTAATCCCACACTGTGACCTTTAAGTCAGCCATGATGTTCCCTCACAGCCACACCTTCAGAACAAACCTCAGTATCATAGTCTGAGGATTTATATTTGTGATTTCATGTTCTTACATGGATGATATGTGTCTCAAGCGCTGACATGACAAAGACCGTTTTTAGCTTTTTAAAGCTCCAAATTTAACAAATTGGTCATTTTAATTGCGTGCACTGTGCTGTTAGTGTATTGTTCTCTGGAAGATCAAGGGTGGATTTATGTGATTGATATTGTTTAATGTTACACAACGTGTATGCATGCATACATCTGTGCATCTGACCGTCATTAAAACTTGTGTGTTTTTGTTTTGTTTTTCCACAGGTGCATGTTGCGGGTGCTGGATTCATTTGGGACTGAGCCAGAGTTCAACCACGCTCACTATGCCCAGTCCAAGGGCCACAAGACGCCCTGGGGGAAGTGGAACCTCAACCCGCAGCAGTTCAACACCATGTTTCGTAAGTCGGCAGATTTTAAGCACACCCGCTCTCTGCAAAGTCGACTGTTAACGGTCGCTGAGAGGACTAGAAAGCTGTAGCCATTTGATTGAATGCAGGATTTATGAAATAGTTAATGTAATGAAACCCATCATCTCTGAGCCAGCAGGATAATCCTGTGCATCCAAGAATGTTAGTGTTTGAGAATAACACTGGTCTTCTTTACACTAAGACATGAAAGATTTCATCACCTCCCCAAGTGACCCACACTGCTGTTTAAATAAAGTCAAGCTGCCGTAGGAGGCCGCTTGCAACATAAATCAGTTTAACTGCTCAGCACTCCGGGCTGTCATCTGTGTCTACAGGTCAGTTAGATGTTGAAGTTTCTGTAAAAAGAAGAGGCATAAAACACGCTCTGAGCATCCAGGACAGTGCAAGTTAATGGAATCTCATCAAGCAGATTAGTAAGTAAGAGGTCAGGCACTCAGCTCTCCATTTTGCTGTGATTATGAATGTAGGACGTTGTGTGTGTGTGTGTGTGTGTGTGTGTGTGTGTGTGTGTGTGTGTGTGTGTGTGTGTGTGTGTGTGTGTGTGTGTGGGCGCATCGCTCCTGCTGTGGGATCACTGTGTAACTGGAATCAGCCGCATTTGTTGAGACGGATGAGCGGCGGCAGCACAGCAGACGCGACAGCATTAGCTGGGCAGGAAAGGGAGCCAGCATCCCCGGAGTACTGACCTTTTCCCCATAGCTAAGAGAAAGTGAAATGTTACCCCTACAAATCCTCCGTTTGCGAGGTGAGGCCTGGAGCTATCCAGAATGCCACTGCACCTGAATAGCTCATTGTGCACTGAATAGGGTATGTCTTTCTCATAAAACACTGGAGCCTTTGCACAAAATCCAGTCGAGAGTCGCTGGGTTAGATGATATCGCTGGTGAAACAAGTGCACAGCGGTTGGGCTGAGTGTTAAAACCACAGAATGGCCTCACTTCCAGACATGAGAGACAACAA